TAAAGATCTCTCTCTCTCTCTCTCTCTCTCTCTCTCTCTCTCTCTCTCTCTCTCTCTCTCTCTCTCTCTCTCTCTCTCTCTCTCTCTCTCTCTTGTCAAGGGCACGTGCACTTCTAAAATAAAACCGAGTACCACAATAGCTCTCTCAAAGATGGAAATGCAAAGCCAACTTCGTCCATGAAAATCATGCCATTGAGCAACCCAATGCTCAAGCGATTCGGTGTAGGGACCATCGGAAAGAAAACGCAAAAGTTTCTCTACTCCACACGGATCGAGGCGCCCGACGGTCACCACTCTCCTTCCCACCACGTGCACTTCACTCCAGCTTGGACTTCTCTCCTGTTCAGCAGGAACCCCCCTTTACTCCAGCTTTGACATCCCTCTCCTGGCTGGCATGAAAGGTTAAATGGCCAACATCCACTCCACCACAGTGAAATGCACCGGGAAGCTGTACGTCTACTGGAGAACACGCACGCCTCAACAGTCCATCTCTAGGTCTCCATATCAAGGACCAGGGGTAAGAACCCTGATCAGTTTCCATATGATGGTGTGGGGCGGCGGCCAAATCCTGCCCATGCTTGCCATGCGGCAAGGAGGAGGGACCAAAGGCAGCATGCGACAACCGTATCAGCAGGCACTGGAGGCGTTACCCTCCCCGTGATGCACTCGGTGCCTGCCCTAAAAAAATGCAAGGGCTGCGCTAACGCAGCGCTGTGCTAATGCAGCAATACATCTTGTGTGTGCCTACTCTGAAATTTCGCCCAGTCGATATCCTGTCACGAACGGCTGGATACGTTCCTCCGACGATAGCTTTCACTGTTTCACCTAGGCAGCTGTAAAGATATCTTCCCACCTCGCCGTACCAAGCCAGCTCGCCATACTTCAGGCTTCAATATCCTGTCACGAACGGCTGGATACGTTCCTCCGACAATAGCTGTCACAGTTTCACCTAGGCAACTGTAAAGATATCTTCCCACCTCGCAGTACCAAGCCAGCTCGCCATACTTCAGTCTTCACTCCAGGCTTCACTTCAGACTTCTTTGTTTCTGTACGTTTCGTCTCCCTGCATCTTGATGGTCCCGCAGTCTCCCTCTTGCTGGTTAGTCCCTTGATGAGGCCTATCCCCCTTTCAAGTCGTGCATGTTCCATGGGAAGGGCGCTTTCACACTGCGCTCTTCAGTTCAAAATGTTGGGAATGTTCGAAGTGTTTCCAAGTATACATATAACCCACTCTCCCTCCTGATGGGCCCACCATCTGTCCACAATGCGAAGGACAAGTTCATGTTGCTGTTGCAGAAGTTCCCTTGAAACTGGACGGACACACCTTGCCCGTGTACCGGGCTATGGCAAGTGTTTCCGGGCTATGGCAAGTGTTTGCGGGCTATGGCAAGTGTTTCCAAGTATATGTATAACCCACTCTCCCTCCTAATGGGCCCACCACCTGTCCACAACGCCAAGGACAAGTTCATGTTGCTGTTGCTCAAGTTCCCTTGAAACTTGACGGACACACCTTGCCCGTGCTAAGCGTCCGGGGCTATGGCATCTAAACTCTGCGTCTATGGAAGAAGGGCTATGGCGTCCAAGCTCTGCGTCTATTGAGGAAACCCTAACGAAATTAGCGCAACGCGTCGTGAGGCTGGAGCGCTTCGGTGCCACTCCTGCCTTCGTCCCACTCCACAATTCTCCCCCGAGTTCTAAGAGCATTACTCAGCGTCCTTGTCCTTGTTTTACCTTCAGCTGCACCATTCTTCTTTTTTTTTTTCTTTTCCCTTTTTTTCAACACCATTCATGTGACAGTCAACAGATTGCCTGTTAGAACGTGTCGTCATGATCCCCGTACATGGACTGAAAGTTGCCCATACATTCTATTCAAGGGAAGAGGGCAGCGCTAGTGCTTTTCTTAGCCCCCAATTTCAGCACACTGCCGCAAACACAGTGCTATGTGGATTAGGTCCCCAACGACCCTTTGGGAATCCCCTACTCCTTCACCACCTCCTCTTTCTCCTCCTCCACTCCCTCCACCTCCTCCTCCACCTCCTCCTCCTCGTCCTCCTCCTCCTCCTCCTAGAAGACGTCACGGCTACCGCTCGATATCATAATTGCGCACGGACATCACAGTTTTTTTTTTTTTTTTTTTTTCAACGGACGTCACTGTTGAAAGAATCATGTTTCGCTTTCCTTGGACCTTCATAGGTATACAGGGGAGGGGCTCAGCCTCCTCAAGTGAAACCCCTTGATACGTCGAAAACGAGAACTGTCCGGCATAGACAGCAACAGCATGAGGACGATATGAACGGATACACCAATAACATGCCAATCGTCACGCACGCAATATGAGAGCAAGATTCTCAGAAACTTGAAAATAACACCTGGACAACTTGAAAAAAACACCAATGCGTGGCCCACCTCGACGCGTTTCATCTATCCGCGTAAATAGACTCATATCCGAGAAGTCTCTCCAAAACAACGAGGCCATACCATCTGCCTTGCCTCTTTATATACTCTATCCAACACCTAATCTAGCGAAAGGCCTGCCCATCTGTGCATCTCCCAACGCCTCTCGGCGGATCTGTGCCATCGTGCCCCCCTGGCAGGATGTAACCAGGATACCCAATCGAAATGARAACTCYGATATGRCCGATGAAGAGCGAAAGCAGSCACCGTGATCCGTGCCGTGAAACTTCATTGTGATCTGCACCACAACGACAAACAGGGCCACAAACAAACACAGAAAACACACAGAAAAAACACACACAGCCAAACGCGCGTCGTCCTCCGCTGAGCGAAGAGAGCTCAACGCATGATGAACGATGCAGCAGACTGTTTCTCAGAGACAGGTTGTCAAGCGCACAGGTGATGGCTCGTACGACCTCCAAATCTCATCGCCCCGAACTCCGATCGCGGAGCAACAGCGATGCATGCGCTGGAATCAGCAACCGCTTAGCTTCATGCCCAAGTACTCTGAGAGGCCGAGTCCGAGCGGCGCAGAAGTATAAATCTGCTCAAGAACTCAGTAGAAGCCACTGTAGCCGTACGCACGTCGGCCCTATGCCCAAGACCGGAGGTCGTAAGGTACCCGCTATCGGGACCCGAGCACCAACGGCCGATTGTTGAATGCAACCCAACAGCCGTCTAAGTACAAAAACACAAAATCGAAGGCTGAGCCGAAAAACCGATATCATCAAACTGCCGCCAAAGGGAACACCCCAATTGGCTGAATGCAACCCAACATTCGTCTAAGTACAGAACCCCAAAAACGATGGCTGAGCCCAAATAAAATCGATAGCATCAAACCGCCGCCAAAGGGAACACCCCATTTCGTGTCATGGGCACAATCACGGCCTGTCGAGGCCTCCAAGCGCCGCACTAGAACCGAGATGAGGAAAAATTGGATGACATACAACACCCTTTATACCCCGGACCCTATCCTAGTCAAGTCCTTGCTTGGTAATCATACCAAGCCCCAGCAGAAACAAAATCATCTATAATCTCCAACGAACTACCCCCCGCCTTTTGGCCAAACCGTCTGAAAGTGGACACAACCAGGCTTGGCGGGTAGGAGCGCATGAGAAGCTCCCTCCGAATTACTAGCAACAATTCATACCTGCCCCAGTAATCTTGAGTCAAACCAAAGACCCTATGCAGCGTACTCAAGATCGCCCCAATCTTAGCCTTCTTCGACGAATATGAAAAGTAATCCTGAAAACAACCGAAAACAAGGTGTCCATCATCCCAGAGAGAGGGACCATTTTTCAAGGCAGCGACTGTCCTAATGGACGTACCTACTCGGTGGATCTGTACTCCTGCAAAAATCCACGCTTCCTGCGAAGAATCCGTGCGGACCAATCGTATGTTCGATCCGTAACACCTTGTCAACTGAGAAAGTAAATGCCCGACTTTATGCTCATCACAGCTCGAGGAGACCGCTGCAAACACCGTGACATCGTCAACGATGCGGAAGCCCTCGAAGAACACCTTATCCGCAGCCAAAGTCTTCAAAAAATGAAATTCAGCATAAAAACACAGGATACACGCCAAGGGGCAACTCGATGCTTTCCCCATTGACACCCCAACCACCAGTTTGAGTAGAGTACCAGTAGAGTGGATGAAGGTGAAGCTCATATCGAACATCACCATTTCACGGATATCTTCGAATGAGACAAACAGACAATCAATACAGCTACCTTTTAGAGAAAGCCAAGCCTTCTTTTCCCTTCTTGCAACGTTAACACCACGAAAACCTCTGGCGACAAAGAACTCAAGCAACCAATGGACTGCCCTGACTATGTCCGAATGTGGCAAGGAGACAAACATATCTTTGATGTCGAAGGAGGTAGATAAGAGAGATCTGTAACCATTCAACTTTGAAAAATTCCGATCCATACGTGACAAACCTGCAACAACCTCGGAGACCGCTTTAAGGTTAAAGCTAGATCCCAGGGGAAGGTGAAAGAGCAGGCAATTCAAGGCCCGCGCCACACACGCACTAGCCAGCCTTGCCGGTTCATTGCACGTTGGGGAGCTTGGACGCCAACGGGTAAGATCCTTATATTTTGGTAACACGTACGCATTACCAAAACCCCCCTCCTTAACCCATCCCCCCAACTTGGAAAGGCCACGATTCTGGAAGACCGATCTCATTCTCTCCAGCACATCACACTCATCAGTCTCCAAATAAACGCAGATAATGGTCGTAGAGCACAGGGCATACAACGAGTGTGTCTGAAACATTACGGTCCAGTGGAACACACACGAAATTACGAAGCCTATTGTACCAACCACGCAAAATCCCGACATCCTCCCAATGGTCTGCATCAGTCTCGCCTGACCAACATGATTCCAACAAACCCTTCTCCAAAATCAATGATGAGAGGAGGTAAGAAGAGACATCAATCAGTTGTGTGCCCAGTTCAACCACCCCAGACTGTGGTCGAAATCTCGGTATATTCCTAGAATTAAGACACAAGCGTGGTATCCCAGGAATAAAACCAATACGGGTCCTGATATGCATGCCCAACCGTTCCCAAGCAGGCTCAAGATGGCAAGCGCAGACCACCCTTTGTCCAGGTCTCGTGAAATGTTTGAAAGTCCAAAGGTACCCTGACACCGGCACATTCTTCCTCCAAACAAAACGCAACTTCCTTTTGAGCAGATTCCGGACGGACTCAGGATAAGCAGAGTAATCGAGGATCCTAAGCAACAACGCGTGGACAGCTGAAGATCGCAGACAATGATCGAAAGACATACGCACAAGGATCTTTCTCCTAACATCGATACCTACCTTGAATTTCAAGGCCCGGGCTAGGATGCCTCAAAGTCTCGTCCGCGTATCCTTACCTGAAAAGCCGCGGATTGAGCGGAACCATTTTACCAAACAATCCACACTTCTGAATCTCAGCTGCCTCCGAGTCCAGGGCTGTTCCAACAGGTGGGTTAGCTGTGCCTTACAGAGAGCCCTACCAGTAAGACTAAAAATGACCCGTCCAAAAAGCCAAGTACCTCCTAATTGGAACACCTGCTTGAGATCTTTAAGGAGCAAACATCTATCCCCCAGAAAGACCCTTGTAATTCCAAAAATCCGGCGAATTACCGACCAATCATCCGCCCAACGGTAACCTGGCGAGATCTCAATTTCAAAATCACGCATACCAGAATCATACGCATACCTCAGTAATGAGAGCAAACTATCGCTCCAAACACTATCAATAGGCCGGAACTTCAAAACCGCAAACACCACCGGTCTAACCTCCTTACCCCGCCTCTTAGCACGGCATGGCCTCATCTTAGTTCTCGGCACTCGTCTTACCGTTCGATAATTCAGTGACGGAGAGAAATTCTTTATCAATAGCTTTTCCGTCTGTATCACCGAAGAAACGCCATTAACCAACGGTATGGGCACATAATTCGAAAATCCAAACGAAGACAACCATTGATACGGGCGCGGACACCTACCTGTACCCTTTGCTCGAACCGTTCGAACATGCTCCCCCTATCTGACATAGAGTCCTCTGCTAGAGCAACCTATGTATTGAGATCTACACCAAGGCGAAGCAAGAAGATACACCACAGGTACCGTTCGCCACGAATCCCAATCCAAAGATAAGAGCAAAGACTTATACTTAGTTACCCAGCGGATCTCATTCAGGAGGACTAGAGCAACCAAGATCAGAGTGACACAAACATCACAAAGGGTACGGAGTCACGCACGCGTCGAATCCTCATTCAGCCAAGCAGCACACCGCATTCGCATATACAAAATCATATTCACCCATAGCCGCGCAGTAAAGCTATCGAACATTCACCTGCCTGGTGTGTGCACCTTGTCCTGGCTACCAGCCGCGGAGGGAGAAGGTGCAAAGACAAACCCCTCATAAGCAAGCTTCGCCCTAACCTCGATGATGCGTTCAATCGTGGGGCCTTTTGTGGTGTACTGCACTCCTTCGACGCGGCAAATGTGCTTAAGCTGGTCCTTCGTCTTCGGGGTCAGGATCCGCCTTTGCGCCTGAACATACGCCAAGACCCCCTCTGGGCCACTTCCAGCGCATACCTTGGTGCGTGTGCGCTCCTCCGCCCTACGAGAGGACTCGCCCAGCTCACACTCCGCTGCCTCCTCACGTGGGAACTGTGGCTGTCTGAACGGTTTACGCATCCCCTCCTCCATCGGGATCTTACCCTTGCGCTTCCTTTCACGCAGCTCATAGAGTTTTGCGATTTCATCCTCAATCTCCTCCAGACCTTGTCCCCGTAATCACCGAGACCTGTATCCCTAACATTCTGCACCAGAGTACGAGAGCATTTAACCTCCTCCCTTCTGACGTTTTCCCTCGCCATGAGAAACTGGCGTCCAATCTTAGCCATCACCCTGGCTTCCAACGCTTCCGAATTCCTCTCGATTTCTTGCCTGATCAACTCGTCTATTTTCCTTTTCTCCTCAAACTCCCTCTTCTTCACCTGTTCCTCCCTCCTGAATAAGTTGGCAGATGAACTCCTTCTCCTCGGTCTCCTCCCCAAAATTACGCCGTGGCGTCCAATATCTGGCTGGCATAGCGGTCCCACCTGTAGCAGCACCGCTAGCAGGAGCAGGGGTACCACGATTCGAAGCGCATTCACGCGCAAAATGGCCGTCACCTCCACAATTGAAACACTTACCGCCATTCGTCGCCATCGCGAGAAGGCCGCGCAAAGAAACAACAGATAAAGGTGCAAGTGCAAAAACCCAAACGAAGGGGCACGTCTCCGAGAAAGAAGAAGTACGATCGGCGTCGAGGGAACGGAAAAGGTTAGCGATCGAAAGCAAGAAGTACAAGAAATAAGTCGGTGAGGCACGCCTAAGGTATAGCTAATTAGGACCAATAAACTTCGCTTAAACATTAATCCTGTCTCACAAGAAATCTAACTACGTTCGTCTCATCATCAAAGTAGACAATGACCCTAATCAGGATATCCTGCTCCTGAAACCAAAAAGCACACCTAACGAGTACATGCTCCATAACACAGACTAAACAAAGGTCCCTCCCACAACGTGGCCACCACCCAAGGTACGACTGCAATGGAGGTTGTCACGGTAATCTGAAGACGAGAACTGTCCGGCATAGACAGCAACAGCATGAGGACGATATGAACGGATACACCAATAACATGCCAATCGTCACACACGCAATATGAGAGCAAGATTCTCAGAAACTTGAAAATAACACCTGGACAACTTGAAAAAAACACCAATACGCGGCCCACCTCGACGCGTTTCGTCTATCCGCGTAAATAGACTCATCAGGAGGAAAGAAAGATCCGAGAAGTCTCTCCAAAACAACGAGGCCATACCATCTGCCTTGCCTCTTTATATACTCTATCCAACACCTAATCTAGCGAAAGGCCTGCCCA